AAAAAATTTTAAAGGATAAAATCTTTTTTTTTTTTTTTTTGTTAATTGCAGCAATAATTTATTTTGCTTCATTACTGTATGTAAGTTTTCTTTTTTTTCCTTCTCGCAATAAAAAAGAAAAAAAAAATGCAAAAATTATTGGAATAAAATGAAAGTGACAATGACAAATGCTTGTATTGTTTTCATTTATACATTTGTAATAGGACGGTTGTGGAAGTAAATCAATGGCATTTGTGACATTTGTCATTGCCATGGCTGCAATTGGCGTTTTTTATCTTTACGCAACCAAAGTAATATTCAAATTAACTGCATAACTAATTAATTAATTGTATAAAAATGTTTTCTAAAGTTTTTTTTTTTTTCTTACAGCCAGCATGCAGGGAAGCTATCAACAATTTGTCTGTTTCGGCGTGTGATGCATTGCAAGGAAAAGTTACATCGTCTTCAGGACAAATTGTAAAGCGAGATGTTAGCTTTCAATCTATCCAACTTAACCTTTGACCTTAGTTGACAGTATAATTCGATTAAAGTTTAGCTAATCTTTTGGGATATTTTAATAAGTTTAAAAATGACTAGATATAAATACTATCTGCTAATTAGCAATGATAAATGACTGATTAGTGATGGGAAACTTCTTAGCTAAGTTAAAAAAATGTGAAGTATTAAAAATTTTCCGAAATTTCGGGAAAAACTAAAGATAATTTAATGTTAAAACAGCTAATTATCAGTAATAAATTGCAGGCGCAAATGGTAAATGCTACTGCGCCAATTGCTCAAGCATCTTTACCAGGATATCAACGAGAACAAAAGATTAGCTTGAAATTACATCCTTTGTTTGATTTTTAAAAATTATTTACTATTTTTAGGTGTGAAAAACATTATTTGACTTTTCGAAATTTTCATCCTTCCACAATTTCAAGAAGAGTAGAAGTTTGAAAAAAAACAAAATTTAATGGAAGGAATTAATTTGGAAATTAATTAATGAAGATTTATTAAAGTGATAAATTAGAAAGATCGAAGAATTGTCATTTTCAGGTTGCTATCGATAGTATGATGCAACCTTTTCTTCGTCCAACTGTTAGTCTTTTAAACTGAAACAAAAAAGAAGCAAAATAGAAAATATTTATTTTTATTTATTTGAATCGCTAGTTTTATTAAAATTTACGAATTGAATAATTATAACAAATTTAAGGCATACATTTGAACTAATGAAATAAAGAAAAGTAAATGAATTTAGGAGGTACCACCTGAAACACTGCCACCCGGCTCTGTTGGAAGCTACAGTTCTGGAAACCGATTAGTAACAGGAACATCAGATGATGACAAACCAGCAGCAGTACCGGAAGGTGAGACACAAGCTGGTGCTACCGCCCTTCGTACATCAACGTTAAATCAGGAAGAAGGTCAACCATCTCCGTTTCGTGCTGGTGCAGCTCCAACCGATGAAACACCAGAGAAAGGACTTGTCACGTAAGTTACATTTTTTTTATTCTTTTTTTAGGTATTCAAATTTGATTAATAATTAAGTCAATCGATAATGTGTTTTTAAGCATTGGAGATCATTTCATCCGATCATTATAGAGGTGAAAAGAAGAAGAAGAAGAAAAAGAAGTCAAAGAGTAAAAAGAGCAAAAAGAAGAAAAGTTCCAAAGGAAATAAGAAAGAAGGTAATTTGCAACAATCTTATTAAATCTTTCATTAAAATATTGCAACATTCAATTTTTAAGAGGAAAAAAGAGAAAATCAAATTTAGGAGAAAATAAAGGAGAAAATGAAAAGACGAAAAAGAAGAAAAAGAAGAAAAGTATGACATTTCCTCTTTTAAGATTGCCATCAATTTTGAGCAAAATGACAAATTCATTTCAAAATATATTTGAACCAAATGTAGCAATTTTTTTAAATATTATAAAAGAAGAGAATTTCCAACTTTTTTTCCTGATATAATTAAATTTTAGGCAAAAAATCGGAAGAAACACTACCAGAAGAACCGTAATCAAATAAATGCTACGTGATCCGTGCAAACGACAAGATACGACACAAATGAAATCATTCATTCATTAACATGCAAATTATACTTAGCTTAAACATATTTATAACCTACTGGAATTGCTGAGACATACATGTGATAATTAATTGTAAATGATCGCATTTAAATGAAGCATTACGAACTGATTTATAATGAATAATTAATTACATACGCCTAATTCTTCTGAAATGCGGAAAAGGAATAAAAGAAAATGTGGCCTTTTATTAGTAAAATTGAGCAAACTTTTATCTTTAATTTGATTTATAATATTAATGAGTTTATCCTATGGTATGACTAATAATCTTACTTACTAGTAAAATTTGTAAATATTTTTATATCAATAAAATCATAGGATTGATACATTTTTTTTTTTAGTACAAATTAACTCTCCCTCTCTCATTTAATGGTGACAGAGGATAGATATAGATGAGAAGAGAGTTACAATTTCATATTTATTCTCTTATTTTATCCTGTCACACTGATTAAAGGATATTGTCTCTTTCCTTTTTTTTTTTGCAGTAACGAGAAAATTTTATTTTTTGTGATTGAAATATGAAATTTTTATTTCGAAAGTAATATTGAATAACAGATAAGAGCAATTAAGAATATTGAAGATAATACTTTCAAAGCTGTTGCGTATGAGATAAATTTTAAAGTAGTACTGTAGGAATGGAATGAGAATCGACAAACAAAACATGCTTAATATTCATTTTCATTAAGCGTTTTAGTATATGCGACAATTCATTGATGGTTATTTTCTTTCGTCCCTCATATGAGCAGTACTTGATCATATCTGTCATACGGATTGTATGATTCTCGACAAATGGCTGGAGAGCCTAAAATATAATGATTTAGATAATTATTAGCTAGAAACTTCACTTTGTTTCCATCATTATTTCAAGCATATGTCATTAAAATTCTCAAATTGCAAAAATTCTTTTTTGTAACAAATCTTGAAATCATTATTTATTTTACTGGACTAAATTACTTATTTTGTTGTACATCTACGACACATTTATCATTAAATTATTCAGTTAACTTTATCGATTATTGTTCAATAAATCACATTTTTTTGAATTCTCTCAACCAATCAATATATCAATTAAAATTAAATCAATCAATGTTGATATCACTTTTTTCTCCAAATGGTATTGAATTACAACGATTGTTTTTAATTAATCAATTAAAAGAATATAAACTGGAAATGAAACCTTTATAGCGAACTCAATTGGAATACTTCGATTACCAATAGCAACACGTAATTTTTTGCATGCATTTATCGGATCCTTATAGATTGTTTCCATATTATCAGTTATCCACTTAAATGCATCCTTAAAATTTAAATTTTTATGCGTTGATTTTGTTAAGTTAATGATGAAAAGTTTAAAGCAGGAGGAATTTTTGTTGATTCAAACATTAAATGAAAGCAATTAGTGGAAGTAGATGAAGGCGATAATAACCAATTCATTTGATGTAAGTATTTGCGATTCAATGAAATATTTCTTAATTCTATTCAAGCGCTCATATGTAAGTGTTGTATACTGTATCCTTGAAAAGATTTCCCCAACAACTTCATTAATTTCATCCATTGTTGTTTCGCTAAAAATAATATATATCTTTTTTTGCTAATAATTGATTAGTCGTCCACTTAGAACTTTATTAAACCAAAAAAAAAAACTGATCTGAGTAAGACAAAAACTTGACCGTAGCTCTTTTTATCTTTTAATATCCTTCGACAAAATAAAAATCTAATGATGAGATTTTTGATGAAAAGATTGCAGATATTTTGATTGTGGAAACAAAAGTTTGAAGAAAAATCATCGTAAGATCAAAGGCTAGAAAAGAAGTTTCAAAGATTTCAGGGATCTTTGTATACTCATGCTTTTTTCATCCTTTGTATTGCATATCAAATACATTTAATCCTAGAAATGCATCATACAATCATAGCTCTTGCTAGAAAAATATTAAAAAAAAAAAATCATATCACTTAGAAATTGAAAGCAAAGAAAAGGACTTAGACATCGTTGTAGAAATAGTTGATGGACTAATTTCTCGTGCTACAAAAGATGGATTTTCCTGAAACATCATTTATAAGTGGAAATAATAACAACAACAATAATTAACAATGGTAATTAGCAATAACAACAATAATAACATATAATAATAATAATAATTAATAATAATAATTAATAATAATAATTAATAATAATAATTAACAATAATGATTAATAATAATGATTAATAATAATAACAATAACAATAATAATAATAATGATAATATAATAATAATAATAATAATAATAATAATAATAATAATAATAATAATAATAATAATAATAATAATAACAATAATAATAATAATGATAATAATATAATAATAATAATAATAATAATAATAATAATAATAATAATAATAATAATAATAATAATAATAATAATAATAATAATAATAATAATAATAATAATAATAATAATAATAATAATAATAATAATAATAATAATAATAAAT